GACCTCCGTACACACCGTGACATCCACAATGTGAAGGAAGGCCCTCTACTCTGTCTAATCTGGCTAATAAAGTAACAATGCACATGATGTATAAAGCATAAACCTTACACAAATGTATTTAAAATACAAATACAATAAAATGTATTATTCAAACATTTATGCAAAATCGTTCACTGGAGCATGTCATATGGAGTTTTGCGTCACATCCGTAGTTAGCAAGCTAGTTCCTCTTAGCTTTTCTGCATACCGCCACAAACTCCATGGTGTTTTGCAGGGATTATGTGTGATAAACCACCTAAAGCAAACCCCAAGTATTGTGAAGAGAAAATAATTGTTTTCAAAATATTTTATAAATACAAATTTGGAATGTTGTGTGTGCAGTTTGAACAACTCCCACTACTCTGATACCCCTAAATTAACTCAGATACAAACGACTACATTCAGTCATCACCTCATTTTTCTAACCCAAATTTGTCTTATATAACCTCAGTATATAAACATGACCCAACATTTTAATTTTGAAGAAGCTACAGAGATCTGGCAAGCTATTGGCAGCCTAGTGGTTAGGGCATAGAGCTTGGAATCCCGAGGTTCTGAGTCTGAGCCCCACTCCCACAGACTACATCTATGGGTCTCTGAGCAAGACCCTTAACCCCACAATGCTCCCCGGGCGCCCCACAACAGCAGCCCGCTGCCCCCGAAGGGAATGGGTTAAATGTAGAGGTAAATTTCTCCAGTGTGAGATCAATAAAGTTTTATTATTATTATTATTATTATTATTATTATTATTATTTATTACTTTGGTAGGCTAATCAGTAATACTCAGTGGTTTTTTGATTTTGTATAATTTTTCTTTTAACCAGGAACATTAAACTTGGTCAGATGTGACTAGAGCTAGTTTCAGGACAAGTCAGGATAAACCCTGTGGAACAAGATTTTAAATTGGGGTGTAGCATACAGCCATTGTCTGGCCTCTATTCAGTTACATGAAAACCTGATAAGAAAATTCTGCTTTAAAGGAGGACATATTGATAAGATAAAATAGCCCAATCAATGTCTAGATCTAAATCAATTTAAGAATATGTGTCAAAATTTGAAAAATGCTTTTTACAGATGATCTCTATTTATTCTGATTTAGACTGTGCTGCTTTCCAACAAGTAACTGAAAAACAATTCCTTCACTAAATCTACAAGCTTTTATAATCATACCTTAAAGCATTTGCAGCTATTACTAGTGCAGAGGAAGATTTTGCAATGGGCAAAATACCCATGCATGTCACTTTAGTTTTTTTTTCTTTTTGCTGCATAAATCTGCACCACATTCTGTAAGACTGTTACACAAAATCCTAACAAAATACAGGAATGTTTTGGGTTTAAAATTACAAACAGGGAACCTGCTGCAATGGTAAAGTCAGAGTGATGCTTGCTTTGTTTTACAGGATTGTAACAGAGGGGGAGAAGAGAGAAGTCTGGCGTTTAACTCTGGAGAATGTATCCATGACAATGAAACCAGATGAACGAGACAGGGAGCAGAACATGTACAAAGATGTATGAGATTGTTCTTCTTCATGTGCCACATTGTTAACAACCAGGACTATGAGACTAACACACACCCTGGTGTTTGTCTGCAGCTGTATGGCAGGCATAAGGAATACCTCAGCAGCCTCGTTGGGCAGGACTTTGAGATGGTAAGAGAGATGTTGACAGAAGATATCCGTCCATACTGTCTGGACCCTAACATATTTTGGGATATTTAGAACATTAATCAATGATTAGCATAATAATGGATCAAATCTCAAAAGCAGATGAAATATTTTCTGCACTTTGTCCTCCAGCCTCCTGTAGGTATTCTACGTTACCTGCTGCATGGAGAGATAGGTGAGGAAAGGGTTTTGGATGGAATGATAGTAAACCTGGAGATTAACATGTAGACGTGAAAACTCCTGCATTATGTTTCCTCTTTCCAGTTTCAGCTAAAGGCTTTGAATATGATAACTTATACATCAACTTCTTCATGGAACTGCCGAATAGTGAGTCACATCTAATATTTTATACTTTTGTTTTTTCTCATAGTATTGGTATCTAATTGTACTGCGGTTGTTTCCTTGATATGTGTTTAAGATTGGTCAAGCTTACAATTCCAGCCTGTGTCAGGTGTTACCCAGACTTGCAAGACCAAATCGCTGGGGAAGGTCTGTATTACATTTTTGGATTTCACCGGAAACTTTTGAGAATCAGAGGAAATTTGTTTAGACCTAATCTTTTAAAATCTGCCAACAGGAAAATGTGGCTTTTTTCGGCTACCCATTCAGCTTCGAAGCTTTTTACATGAGTGAAAAAGAAAGTGAAGGTAAGTAGCCCCCCAGCAAAGGTTTGTCATAAAGATGGTTTTGGGTTCCGCATACAGAGCACATAATTGTTGTTTAAAACAAGGGATGATAATCCCATCTGCACAAACATTAATATCTAAGGATACAGATTCATGTGCTGTTTGTATCTCCCTTCCATATGCATGTAGTGCGTTTGGCGGGATTTCTTTTAAATAGGCCCTAAAAGGAGGATTACGACAAACCTCATTTGTTGTTTTTACATATGAACTGGATGTCTGGAGATTCAGGACATGCACTTTGCTAGAAAACAAAACCATTGTAATGTCTGGTGGGACTTTTCAAATCTGCTTAATTTCTCTTAACTCCATGTTTCCATACATTTTCCAATGTAAAAACTATAATGCAGGAAAACCAGTGGAAAATATATGAACTGTCAATGAAAACTTAAGCAAAAGTTTTAATTTTGGGAATCATTAGCCAAACACTGCTTTAGCTGTGCTTAGAATTTGTTTAGCTAAAACTCATATGCAGGTTTTAGCTATAAGTGCAATAAAGCGCATAAAAATGGGTAATGATGTTAAATACAGACTGTCTCTGAACAGAGTATCAGTTGTACATTCAGAAATCTTGATTAAATTTTTTTTCTAGTTGCACTGAACCATACATGTGTTTTTGTAATTGCAGAGTTAATTCCTCAGTGGCCAGCGCTTTATTTTAAAGTCCTGTCCCTTGACTCCTGGCAGCGCTATCGAACTGAAGGTTATGGCTATCTACTTTTCCCCGCTATGCCTGGTAAGACGCCTCTTATACAACCTGGTGATGGAGATTTCACACTACTATATCCGTACTCATTAAACTACAGAGCCTAAATGTGATTAAATATTTTATCATAGCATAAATTAACTACTGCAGGATGTGATTTAGAAATGAAGTGTTTTGTCCTGGTTGTGTGTATGTGTGCCAGGGAGGCACACGGTGACCTGTCACACGTGGAGACCTGTTCAGACGGGGACAGTCTCTGCTTTGAGGCGCTTCTTCATTGGAGGTTCTGCAGAACTTGAAGACAGCAGCTACGTCAGAATACCAGGGACATTTAAGGTAGACTCTAAAATTACAAAATGCAAACAGTCCAGTTTAAGGTGGGAGATATCCTTCAGTTGTATGTTTGATTGAAATGGATCAACAGCCTTTAAATTACTTAATGTCTTCTAAGAGGAAGTTTGAATGGAAACTGCTTTGTTCACGTGTAGTGTTTGTTTATTATTTAAAGCTGTGTACATCTACAAAAGTAACTACAATTTTTAAAACCATCCACGTTAAGATATTTAAAGACAATTTTTTTTTTTCTTGGTTTCAGGGAGAGAGGCTGAGTCGCTTCGGCTTTTCCACAGAAACCACAGGAAGTGTTACTTTTAGTCTGCAATGCATCCAACAAGCCAGGTGAATGCTTACTTTTGACAGAAATACAAGAAATATATTTTCACAGACAATACTATTTCGACAAACATGCAGATGAAGAAAACTCCAGCTTTTAACTGTTAATGTTTATATGAGTGCAATAAAAAAAAAGGTTAAATGTCAGATTAAACGTCTACATGCGATAGATGTTTTAATATTAGAATTAAATAAAATTTTAAAAAATAATGGAAAGTCTGTTTTAATGTTTGCATGTTTGATTTGTTCAGGGCCTTTGTTGATGCTGCTCACCTGAAGAAAAGAAGGCAGAAAGTGGTGGACCAGCTTGGAGGCTTTAGCCAACAAGGAACGGTCTGCAGCATCCTGGGTAAAAAACATAACAAAACGCTAAAGTAGAATTTCAGTTTTGATCCTGGAGAATCAGTGGTTTGATTTGCTGAAACCGTCCCTTCCTAGTGTGTTGGAAAGCGTTTTCTAAGTGCATATAAAGCAACAGAAATGACATGGCCACATCAGCAATCAATTCTGTGTAACAGTTCGCTCCCAGAGTCAAATTAGTGGTGACATAAAAGTTATTCTTTCAATGGTCAATAGTTGTGCACTGTAAGCTTTATTTTAACCATTCACCATTTTAATGATTTTTATTGGGATAATCTAAAATACTGTATTATTAGAAACAGATTAGCCTTTGTCTTGGTTGCATTATGTCATCAAACATTTTTATTGCTAAATTTCAGGTGTTTAGAAATCAGTTTGATGCTATTTTGCAAAGCATGTTTTCTTAAAGTGATTTGTAATATTTTTGCATCTGCTTGTTTCCTATTAGAGGCCTACCAGAGGGCCCATAAAAGGCTGCAGGAAGCCAGAGAAAGTCTTCCAAGAGATGTCCTTAACTCTACTGCCCAACCTCAGCTGGAATCGTCTGCATAACAGTCAAGATTAATCATGAATCATATAATGATTTGAGACAATTATTAGAACACTTGTACTAAAACAGCACAAAAGATCATATTTATCTTTTTCACTCTTCATGCAGACATAAGAATGGATGCCAGGATGAGTAACAGTGTGGTAAACAGAGGCATGAAGAGTTAGTTCTATTATTTGTTTCCCTTTTACAAAAAATAATTTGATAGGTAATGTTATTTTGGTCAAAGGGGCTGTTTTTTTTAAAAAACACCAGCTAAGAGAAATGTACTTGCTTTAGTTGACGGTCTTCAATTTTTAATGCAGTTTGTAAAGTTTTTATGAATTAAATGTATAAAATCACTGCTTTGGTTATCTTTTTTTTAATTTTTTTTCTTTGGGATTGTAGCCCTTTTAACCTGTTTTTATTTCTTATTAAATAAAACTATTTTTTTGCAGCAAAACTTAGATTAACATCACATAATCTATATCAGCTATGTCAATACAGAGACCTAAACCTTGATCTGAGTAGAGCTTTAAATATTTTTGTCTGCAGGGTCTTGTTTCAGAATCAATTGTCATTATACCCTGAATAGTAAGCAGATACTCTGAGTTTTCCTACCCATCTCTGCCCTACTTAGAACTTTCAATTTCAGACAGATAATTTCAGTTGGGTAACTAAACCTGGCATCTTAAATACCCTGTGTTTTGCATGTGTACATAAAAACCCCTCTTCAAAGGCACAAAGATAATGTGATTGACCGTGGCAACAGCAAGAGAGAAGCCTCTACAGCTCAGTTTGTGGTCACACCCTCAGGCCACTGGGGATGAGGAGGAACGGTGGGCTGAATATATATATTCAGGTTCATTATTTAAATGTAATGTATATATATTTAGACCTAAAATATATTTATTAGATATAAGATGTAAGAGTTAGACATAATATGTTGGTCTAGATATAAATTTAAGACATAGAAATAAATATAACATTCATATATAGAAATAGGTTATAACAGATTTAAAAAGTAAATACAGATATATATCTACATTAAACATTTCTATTTAACATTAGACAATAAATAGGAGAGAAAGGCCTTAGATTTGCAGAAAATGATGTAAATAACTGCAATGAAACGTAAAAAAATTGCACACCATATTTTTTTTGTGTGCATTGAATATGTGTCCAGGTGAAACATAACAGGCAACTACTACTGATGTGATTCCCCAATAGACATTTTTCACAATATTTCACACTGTACTGTACTGTACACTTAATAGTAAGATGGAATTGATCCCTGATGAATATTAATAAGTACTTGCTGAGGATATTAAAATAAGATGTAATCATTAAACTACATTTTAGAAAGAGTTATTCCCTTGTGTACAATAAAAACCTCTAAATGACCCTCTCCAGATATCTTCAGTCTATTTGCACTCCAACCTCAGTAAATTCTTCCAGTGATGGACACATAATTTCGGACACATCCCTGTGCAAATCTCATCTAAGAAGAACATAATACACGAAAGTAAATATTTTTTACTTTTTTCTTATTTTTCTTGTAATAATTTTTCACAAGATAAAGCTCCTTTTTTTCTGCTGAGACATAAGAACCAGGACATGCAAGAATTTACACCAGAATTTACTCTGGTTTGCCACTAACCCTGCTGTATGAAGTGGGGCCCCGTCCCCGGCAGTAGAAACCATAGTTGTGTTTCACATGAATAAACAAGTCAGACTCCTGCTAAGGCTTAAACCTTTAAAATGAAGGTGACACCTTTGCATTTTGGCAGAAAATCTCCAGACTTCTGATAAAAAATTCAAGATGAAGAGAACCTTTGACCATCCTGCAAAAATCCATATAGGAATGGTGTCACTAGAGAAAGATAAAAGGTTTGAAATTGTCTGACCAAAGAACAGAGCTGCATCTGGGTCCAAATCTTTTAGAATAACCTTGAAATATGGAAGGTCTGAAACTTTTGTAAAAAAAAAAAAAAAAAAGTAGACCTATAACCCAGACAGGCTGGCCAGCCTTAGACATAATTCAAAGATTTTAACTCACTTTTGTGTATATATATATATATATAAATATATATATATGTCGTTTTTTTTCCATTTAGATACATGTCATCAAATTTTCTTTTTGCTTCCTGGTGTGTAGAGGTGATGATTTATAAATATATATAAAAGCTATACACCCGAACACAATTTCTTTTTCAAATCACAGGCTATTTTAGGATTATTGGTAATTTTTCCATTTAACGCATCTTTATATTTTTTAAACTAAACTAGAAAACCTTAGTTACAACGGGAAGTTTAGGAATTTTCCCAGACCGTGAACGCACCATTCTCCATCTTCCTCCTTACCAGGGAAGGGACCAACCTTCGTCCTGCTGCACCCCATTGGAAATCCTTCGTGTCATTTATTCAACAGGCAAGTCAGTTATATTTTAATTAAATAACTTAAGTGAACTATTATATTCTGCGAGGTTAATGTTAGGCAGTGTGCCGATCTGCGTATGGTTTGACTGCGTTTAACGGCTTTCCTATGAGCAGCACCGATGATGCAAACTGGGCCGCTTTCTTTCCTCCACATTTTCTACCCTGTCATTTCAACACAATCTTTAACCGAAAGACGCCCCTCTACGTGTTATTTAATTCCTGAATTTGGAAACACAGAAGCTTGTCTAACTCGAAGCTTTCAGCCTTTAGAAGTGAAAGATTGGCGATGGCGGCGCTGTTAGCTTGTGGCTAGCCACCTACATTGAAGTCAGTGTTCGAATTGTGATGTTGGTTCTCTCTTTATTTTAGCAAATGAGAGCACATTCAATGAACTGTAGTTCTAAATGTTAACAAACTAGACTACCATCTGGATTTAAATATTTGCACAAATCACATGAGTCTTTAAAATCCGATATTTGTGATGAATGAAATGTGTATTTGTGTAAAAACCCGTTTTGGCATTTAGCCCACCTTCGGATGAAGTCATTGACAATGCAGGGTACTTATAGCTTCGTTGAAACACACTCCTGTAAGCAATGAAGAATCATCAGGTTTAGTATTTCATTTTCATTTAAAGGAGAAGAATGCGCTGCGGTTTCATTTCAGATGTTAACTTCAGCGTTGAAGCTAACCAACGTTAGCAAAGTGGAAGTGAAGAGGTTTAAACACATTTTTGCGAGCTGACAGTTTCGCGAATGTTAAACGCTTTACATGAATGCCCCATGCTGAAACCAGTTTTAATAAAGTATTTTCGATTACTACAGGAGATATTTGAGGATACAACAACGGGGCGGGCTGATGCAGAAAACGGCTCTTAAATAAAACTATTGGTGGGAGATTTAACTTGTAAATCTTTTCCATTTTCCTATCACTAACACCAGTGACGCAGATTCAGTAACGTGCAATAAATAATCAGAGAAATCTATCCACATTGTTGGGCAAGGTGAGCTGTCTGATAAGCACAATTGCTGTTTGCCTGGATTACTTCTGTATCTGTTTACCACAATAGTCCCTTTGATTGCAGTGAACAGTTTTTCATTTTGCATGAGGGAAGCATGCATGCATGTAAATAGCATAACATATGAAATGAATGGTGCTGAATGTCCTTGTGTGCAAATCCTCCCTTGTTGTAGAAGGTTTATATAATGTATTTACTGAAAATTTTGTCACAAATGGGGTCTTATTAAGACAAAGAATGACAGCAAAAAGGAGAATAAGGGGTGAGATGGCCCAAGTTGGGAATCACACTTTGTCTGCTTTAGTGTCTTCAACTCCACCTTAAAGATACTCCATAGATTATCATAAGGATTTGGATCAGATCAGTTTGCGTGGTGATGATGCATAGATTTTGGGAGGTTTTTGGCTGTAGGGGCCCAAACTTGGTTAAGCATAATGGACAAAGTCCTTTTTAAATTATCGACACTGAAAACTTCACAAGCGACTTTCTTCTTAAAAGACTTGAAACTACTGAGAAATAGTTTAATACCCCCCTTTCTTCCTCAGCTCAGGTTAGATTCAACATCTCTGATTATGTGTTTACACTGGAAAAAAGTCATTTTTTCCCTGTAAAATAAATGCATTTGTTCTTGGATTGAGGAGGTAAAAGAGACATTTTGCCAATGGAATAAGACAATTTATATTATAAATAAGAAAACACAACTGAATTGTCTTATTTTAAGTGCACATTATCTAATAATTTTATTTTGAGAGTAAAGATACCTATTCCATTGGCAAACTATCTAATTTTTACTCTTAACAGTTAGGTACTTCTTAACCATGACCTTTTATTGGTTCCCTTCATTGTTTCAGTGACTTATCTGCTGTAAAATGTTCTATTACAAAACATTTAAAAATGTTTTTTTGTTGCATATAGTTTTCATTATATGTTACTGACCATCAGTTATGTGGGATAAAGCTGAGCATTTCTACATCCTTGTTGGAACTTGCAAAATAAAACATGCTTTTCCAGGCCAGGTTTTTGTGATTTATTGAACTGAACTCTGGTCTTTATCATCTTTTTTATTGTGGTTAAGAAAAAAAAAAAATTTAAATTGTTTTGGTTTCTTTCAGATAGCAAACACCACCACCATGACAGACTCCAAATATTTCACTACCAACAAAAAAGGTGAATGCAAAAAAGTGTAAAAACATGCATTGTTTTTTTTTCTTCTATATATTCACAGATTATTTTTCTTTTTATATTTGTTTCCTAAAAATAGGAAACATGTTTTTTTTTTTCAACTAAACAATATATATTTGTAAGACATGTCTGTATCATCCATTTTTCAGGGGAGATCTTTGAGCTGAAGGCGGAGTTGAACAATGAGAAGAAAGAGAAAAGAAAAGAGGCAGTAAAGAAGGTCATCGCTGCAATGACTGTTGGCAAAGATGTCAGGTACACCAGCAGATTAAACTTCACATATTGACAGTTGGTTCCTGCTGTAATCCTCACAGGATTATGCTGCCACCACTATGGGGATATGTGTTCAAAATGATGATGTGACCCGTGTATTATTTCTAACATACAGACTCCTACAGGCCCAAAAACACTTTTGTTTTCATAGCTTCTAATCATGAGCAGTCAAACTGGAGAATGTAACTGTGTTTTTTTTCTCAGTTCTTTGTTCCCAGATGTGGTGAACTGTATGCAGACTGACAACCTGGAGCTAAAGAAGTTGGTCTACCTTTACCTAATGAACTACGCCAAAAGCCAGCCAGACATGGCCATCATGGCTGTGAACAGCTTTGTTAAGGTAAGTGTTTTACAACTTGATACTAGAGTGGGCGTTTGCCATGTGGTAACATTGTGGAAGTTGTTGTGATTAGCTATAGTTGCCCTTTTTGATACAATTTTTACACACTAAAACGATGCAAAGATTTTTTGTATCCCCTTCTTGGCTCTAGTGGATAAAACCCCATTTAAAAAAAAAAAATCTCTTAACCTATTTTATAGGACTGTGAGGACCCTAACCCTCTGATCCGGGCTCTGGCTGTTCGCACCATGGGCTGCATCCGGGTGGATAAGATCACAGAGTACCTGTGTGAGCCACTGAGGAAGTGCCTGAAGGATGAAGACCCGTATGTAAGGAAGACGGCAGCTGTTTGCGTGGCAAAGCTGCATGACATCAATGCTCAGATGGTGGAAGATCAGGGATTCCTGGACTCCCTGAGAGATCTCATCGCTGACTCAAACCCCATGGTTGGCCTTCCTCTTTATATTTCATAAATATACTTACTTTAGTTTGTGCCCATTAAGATAAAGCTGTATTAATTCTATGGACTTTGTGAAGTCTGTGTTTTACAACTGTGAGCCTCGCCCCACAGGTTGTTGCCAATGCAGTCGCTGCTTTGTCGGAGATCAGCGAGTCTCACCCCAACAGCAATTTGCTGGACCTGAATCCCCAGAATATCAACAAGTTATTGACGGCCCTTAACGAGTGCACAGAATGGGGGCAGATCTTTATCCTGGACTGCCTGTCCAACTACAACCCCAAGGATGACCGAGAGGCTCAGAGGTAGAAAAGCTGTAATTAATTAAATTTCATTAAGATGGTTATTAAAACCAAAGGATATCCCGTTCTTCTCTTAGCTTATAGTGCTGAGATCTTTCTTCTCCTTTTGTGTCTCAAAGCATCTGTGAGCGTGTCACTCCACGACTGTCTCATGCCAACTCAGCTGTGGTCCTGTCCGCCGTAAAGGTCCTGATGAAGTTTCTGGAGCTGCTGCCAAAGGATTCAGATTATTACAACACATTGCTGAAGAAACTATCTCCCCCGCTGGTTACTTTGCTGTCTGGAGAACCAGAGGTCCAGTATGTGGCTCTGAGGAACATCAACCTTATTGTTCAGAAGAGGTATGAGATCAGTACATTTTTATTGATAGGTCTCCCAGTGTAAGCAAATTCTTTGCAAAATGCACAGATTTCCAATATATTTTGGAAAATACAGAATTTAATTTAAGATTTTATTTCAGAACTTTGTTATTGCAGGAAAAAAAATTGTGTACTTGTGCCAAAAAATATTTTAAATATCCTAGCTTTATTTACTCAACTTTTTTTTCCCTAAATGTTGCTTTGCATTATAGATTTATGTCCCCTGGAAGAATCAAACATACAATTCTTTATTTTTTTTGCTCCTATATAAATGGACAGGAAATTGAGCTGAATTTTGTGCTTTTCTTTGCAGACCTGAGATCCTGAAGCAGGAGATTAAAGTGTTCTTCGTCAAGTATAACGACCCGATCTATGTGAAACTGGAAAAACTAGACATCATGATCCGTTTGGCCTCTCAGGCCAACATTGCTCAGGTAAGGTTATTGGATGAAACGCAGCCGATCTTTATCTTTCATATCTGAAGGTTGGTTCTTGCTGAAAAAGACATTTAGAAACCAAACGCAGTCAAACAGAAGTTAAATGCAAGGCTTCAGGAAAATATGTTTTCTTTTTGTATATGTTTATTTGTATTTGCTTTATGATAATGGAATTAACAAAATGTAATTGGATTCCTGCAGGTTTTGGCCGAGCTGAAGGAATATGCCACAGAGGTAGATGTTGACTTTGTGCGCAAAGCTGTTCGAGCTATCGGACGATGTGCCATCAAAGTGGAGGTGAAAACATTTGTCAACTAATATTTTTAGAGGTCTGTCGGTGACCGAAATACGATGAGTATCTGATGTCCTGTTTGAACCCCAGAAATCCTTTTTTTTTTTTTTTTTTTTTTTTTAAATGGGGTTTTATCCACTAGAGCCAAGAAGGGGATACAAAAAATCTTTGCATCGTTTTAGTGTGTAAAAATTGTATCAAAAAGGGCAACTATAGCTAATCACAACAACTTCCACAATGTTACCACATGGCAAACGCCCACTCTAGTATCAAGTTGTAAAACACTTACCTTAACAAAGCTGTTCACAGCCATGATGGCCATGTCTGGCTGGCTTTTGGCGTAGTTCATTAGGTAAAGGTAGACCAACTTCTTTAGCTCCAGGTTGTCAGTCTGCATACAGTTCACCACATCTGGGAACAAAGAACTGAGAAAAAAAACACAGTTACATTCTCCAGTTTGACTGCTCATGATTAGAAGCTATGAAAACAAAAGTGTTTTTGGGCCTGTAGGAGTCTGTATGTTAGAAATAATACACGGGTCACATCATCATTTTGAACACATATCCCCATAGTGGTGGCAGCATAATCCTGTGAGGATTACAGCAGGAACCAACTGTCAATATGTGAAGTTTAATCTGCTGGTGTACCTGACATCTTTGCCAACAGTCATTGCAGCGATGACCTTCTTTACTGCCTCTTTTCTTTTCTCTTTCTTCTCATTGTTCAACTCCGCCTTCAGCTCAAAGATCTCCCCTGAAAAATGGATGATACAGACATGTCTTACAAATATATATTGTTTAGTTGAAAAAAAAAAACATGTTTCCTATTTTTAGGAAACAAATATAAAAAGAAAATAATCTGTAAATATATAGAAGAAGAAAAAACAATGCATGTTTTTACACATTTTTTGCATTCACCTTTTT